TTTATATTTCTTTAACATGTCCTCTCACATGAGAGTCCATTAAGCTTGAAGAGTGGATAATGCATCAGGTCTAGTCTAACTATAATAACTCATACTTGTATAATGAAAAAAATGAGCAATTGGGAATTTTGCATGAATTTATGTGATTAATTAATTAAAGTCACTTTTTAGTGAAAAAATACAATTACAATGAATTTTACGGTAAAAATACAATTTTCTAAAATTACCAAAAACTTTGAAATAAATTAGTGAGAGACTAATTTTTGAGATATATGGGTTAAATCACACGTTGATATGTTAATTAAGTGATGGCTAGTTAGTTTATAAGCTAAAAACAAAGAAAAGGAAGCAAATGATAGATTGGTAAGGTGCCAATATTGCTTTATTGACTTTTGGTCAAAATGATTAAGTGAGTGAGATTAAGACCAAAACATCATCTCCTTCGGTCTTTATTTTCCCAACCCGAATAGTGAGCCAACTTGCATGGCTAATTAGCTTCAAAACTTTACTTTCTTAATACTCCATGAAATTAATTGTGGTTGGAAGCAAAAACACTAAGAATTTCTTTGTGAGCAAAACTAACCATTATACTTGAAAATCTTTGGTGAGACATTTGGCGGAAATCATCGGTTAAGGTTTGGTGTTAAATTTTTTTGTTTGACATCGGTGTTAAAGAATTTTGTTTATATGGTGTCAAATTTAAAATTTGAAACCTCATTTGAGAGCCATTAAATCAAAAAAGATCAACGACTCTGCTTTGTAAACATGTGACACCATTGATCTTTTTTGATCTAATGGCTCTCAAATGAGAAGGTGTCAAACTTTAAATTTGACACAATCCTACCTCATATATATATATATATATATATATATATATATATATATATATAAGCAATCTTGATAATTTGGTGCTTGTAATGCTTAATCTAAAGGGTTGGGATACTAAAAAATTGAATTTTAATTAATTGTGTTGAATTTATTGAAAATATTAAAAGGAGAATCGATTGAGAATTGAATTAAGCTATACAAATAAAAATTGAGCGAAATCGAAACTCTAACTATTTTGATCAGTACAACTTCTTTGTGTTCATTGTTATTTTCTTATTTTGTTTGTTATATTGGGTTTTGTCTTGGTTTTATTATTTATTTATTTTTTTGGCATCTTGATTCCTTATCGTGCTCCCAACAAGATCAAGATCAAGCACCTTAAAGAAATTTGACAATTATACTCTATCTTCTACACTATTCTTTTACGGGGAAGGATATTGTGACAATCAAGTTGTGTTACTACCAAGTGACTACCAATCAATCTTATCGTTAGATCGATTATATTGATCCAACGGTTATATTTATTTCCATCTTTGAATAGTCATGATTCTCCAAATTTAATACTTTATATTTATTTTCACCTTTGTCTGGTTATGATTTCCCATATTTAATGCTTTCACTTTAAATATGGGGAATCATGACCATACAAAGATGAAAATAAATATAACCGTTGGATCAACATAATCGATCTAACGGTGAGATTGATTGGTAGTCACTTGGTAGTAATACAACTTGGTTGTCACAATATCCTTCCCCTTCTTTTATTAGTTATATCTTTTGAATTTCATGTGTGCTTTAATGTTTATATGAGTCTAAATCTGTTTCTCTTAGAATTTGGTGTAACTCTTCTACTCCTTTACGATGAATGCTTGATTTTTTTTTACTAATATGAATTATTATTTCTTAATTCATTTTTTATGTTCTTAATGCTTAGGAAATGTTGCTAATCATATTTTCAAAGTCTTAGGTATTCATAAATCGAGAAATCTAGAGATAAATTGAATCTTTTAGGTAATAAAAATACCAAAAAACTTAATGACTTTCAATACGAGAGTTGAAATTATTTTAACTCCAACTCGCTTTTTAACTGAGCTATAATAGCATAGACCCATCTTCAAGAATATAATAGAACATTGATAAAAAAAAAAAAAATAGTTTATGGTTATGATTAGTGAACCGGTCATGCATCTGATATGTTTATGATTCATATCAGATGCATCAAGTACCAGTGAAAAAACCGGTATATTATTAAACGGACAAAAAAGGTCGTTTATGATTCAAACTGATTTTCTTCCTTTTTTGTTTTTTGTTTTTAAATGAACTGTTGAGCTAACTAAAGATCTAATGCAAGTTACAAAGGTTTATGTATAAACATGTTAATATGCAAGATGGGGTGGGTCAGCAACAGGCTCAACAGATTGAACATGAGGCCCAAAAAGAGGAATAGGACATAGTTCAAGACCAAATGGAGCAACTAGTGGGTTTACATAACAGTCCAAAGACAAGATGGTCCAAAAGGAACAAAACTCAAGCCAAGTGGATGAGTGATTTTCTGATATGAGCAGTAAGCGTGAGTTGTGAGTACAAGGTGGTTTGTTGGGAGGTTATGCCTCTTGGTTATTAGATTCTGTTAGTAGTTTTGGTGTGTGTCGCTTGGATACATTTTCTTTTTTTGTTATTGTGTTTCTTTCTTTATGTTATTGCTAGAATTAGTGTATAAAAACTCTGATATGAATGTTAATGAAAAAAAGAATATTTTGGCTAACTTAGAGTTAGAGGAGGGCCCTCTTAAAGAGAAGAACTGTAAACCCAAAATCTATCAAAGCAAGATATAGACGACTTATTCCCCTCTTACCTTTTATTTATGTTATATGCTTACATATTTTACGTACGTGAAATTTTTAATTATGATTTTTTTTCATGTTTGATTAAAGGATTTTGATTAATGTAAGATTTTTGGATTAACGGTCTTTATGAAGAGACAACTACATGTGGTGCTAGATAATATATGCATGAAGTAAAAAATGTAATGTGTGCACAAGGACAACAAAAAAGATTATTAGGCAAGGTACATTTTATGATTAATTACCTATGATGCTTAACCTTTTATGACAATGGATAAGGCAATGTTTTAAAACTCTGTCCTGCCTCAGGGTCGATCCCATCGGGACACTGACCCCCTTTTTCTGAGGGTTGGATTTAGCAGTTAGATCTTGCATGCACGTTGACTCCTCTGACTCTTAAAACTCCTCAGTTGAACTCGTAACTCCCAGATTAGAAGGGTCAGAGGAGGTCACTGTAATTTTTTTTTTTTTTTTTTTAAATTTCACACGAAAAGATGTTGTTTGGTGTGTAAACAAAAAACTCGTTGCTGCCTAGATCTGAAATCTGACTCGTTCATCTTCTTCTTCTCTTCCAATTTTCTCTCCCAGACCCAGATCCAGTATCCCTTATCCGTTGATCTCTTCCGCCGTGGTGGTTCCTCCTATCCTCTTCGGTATTCTCTCTCTCCTCTGTCGTGCAGTTCTTCTCTTCCCACTGTTGATTCGCCACGCTGCCGCCTCTCCTCAGTCGTTCTCTCAAAGATAAGGGATCTCCTTTCACATGCTATTGTAGGTACGTGAGAAAGACAATGAGGGTCGTTTGGTTCAGGAGAAATTTTTTGAATACTAGAAAAATGTAATTGATAAGGAAATGATTGGAAAGTGAGTTTGGAAGGAAAATGTAAAAAAAGTTGTTTGGTTGACCAAAGTTTTACTAGGAAAATTGAGTTAAATTTTCTGAGTCTTTGTTTGGTTGAAGATAAAATAAAGATAGAGAAGTGGGTTGAAATGACAAAATTAACTCTTACACTTTATGGAATTTTTTGGTCTAGTGTACGAAATTTTTTCTTTCACACTTTAGATTAGGGGTATTTTAGTTCAATGCATGTTGTCCTTTTTTTCATTTACCCATCTAATTACAAATACCACCGTCCAAGTGGTCTTTCTAAATAGTGATTTATTCCCTATTTTACACACATGCTTGAAATGCTAGGGAAATGTGTTAGATGAGGAAGTATTTCAAAAACTTTTGCCAAACATGGACATCCAAATTTACCAAAATGAGATGCATGGGGAAATAAAAATATAACTTGAACCAAACACCCCCTGAGGGGTTTGAGTTTGATAATATAACTTTTCATTAATTCCATCGGAATATGTGTTATATTCATTGATACTTTGATTAGCTTGTGTCATATTGACTTGTGGATGTAATTAGATGAATTATTTTAAGTATATTTTGAATCTTTGATGATTGATGATTTGATTTTTTTGAATTTCTAAGCATATATATTTATATTTTTTTAATGTATAAAACTAAGTCAGCGAAGCGACCCGTAACCCCCTGATTGAACTCGTGACTCCTGATCTCAGCCGAGTCAATCATCGAATCGAATTTTTAAATAATGGGATAGGGTACATTTCTCTAAAAGTTTGTTGGGCTATTATGTGGATTTATAACACTTTTTATCTATATTAAATGCTTGATTATTTCACTCATAAAATATAATTTTTTCCTTTACTTTACATTACATTTATTAGATAATTATCATTTATCCTTTTATTTTCATTATTATTATCTTGAAAGACATATAACATGGTCTTTCACTGTTAATCAAAATTTTGTTTAACATATGATTTTCTGTTAATTTATTATTTAACATGTTACATAATATTAAAAAAAAAACGTATATCTCATTATCACAATTCAACCACGGTTAAACTAGTAAATCGTAAAAAAAGATCTTCATTTATTTAATGATTGTTTGTGTTCAAATTAACTTTTTTCAAAAAAAAAAATTCTTCCAAACAGCCACTCTAGTTTTAAAAAGATCGATTACTAATTAATTAATAAATGTGACTCAATAAATATTGTTAATTTTTTAATAAATTATAACCGTTAGATTGACGAAAATCAATAATGATTAAGTTGATTGTAAGAATGATAAATTTTTTTGGTAATAAGTGAATCTATTACCTTTTTTAAAAATGTAATCCATATTGTTTAACAAAAAAAAATAAAATAAAAATTGTAATCCATAAGCGGTGAATAAAAACAAAATATAAAATGAAATTACTCCCGTGTCCTCCGTCCTGCGAAAAATACCTGGCCAGTCCCCATTGGGCTAAACACTCTAACAGAAAGACCCAAAACGAATGAGAAAAATCGCTGCTACAGTTTATGCTTGAAAGGAGCGAACTAGTTCCGTTGATCTTTCTGTCTCTCCTTTTTCCTCTGAATCTAATTACCTTCCGATAGGTACGTTCCTTCCGATCTCTCCGTTACGCTTTTCTCTTTCCCCCCCTGCACCCGATTCAGATCTACGAATCTGCGTCCCCTTTGACTTCTTTCTCTGTTTATTCCCATCAATTTTTTCATTAATTTAGCCAATTATTTTTTTCTCACTCACTACCATTTTTTTCTTTCTGTTTGGTTTTCCGCAAATAAAAAAAATGATGAACTGGACCGTAGTTAGATTTAGATCTCTCGACCGTCGATTTTTGTTTCTCAATTTTCATAGAAAGGGTTATCTTATCGCGATTTTTGAGAAATTATTGTATACTCATGGTATGGTGGATTGTTCCTATAAGTTTTTGTTTTTATTTTATTTTAATAATATTATAAATTGATGATCCTTCTTTTCCATTAATTTCAATTTTAATAGTGTATTGTTTTCATCATTGCAAGTCGAAGATTAATATTCTATATTTTCTATATCATGTTGTTCTGCGTAATTTGTGTAATGAATTTTCTCACACTTTGTTTGGAGGGAGAAGAGTACCAAGTTGGTTATATAGTTTGTTTAGTTCAAAATTTTGGTTTTAAATTGTAAAATTGTTTTCTTGTTACTACTGTTGCATTTTTTTTGTTCTATTTCGTAGTAATAATCAAGGTGGGATTTGTTTGCGCAGTTGCTGAAGGATTTGCCTTGATTTATGATTATTATCTTGTAGTTTCATTTAGCCAATTAAATTAACCAATATTTTAATAGTTACGTATTTTGTGTTCATCACAGAATGGCATCCAGTAGGAGTCAAGGTGGAATTCAGCAGTTGTTGGCTGCTGAACAAGAAGCCCAACGGATTGTCAATGCTGCGAAAAATGGTATTTTTTTTGCCATATTTTCATCCAATTTTTGGTCTAATTATGTGTCTTCATTAAATTTTTCTGTCTTACTAAGTCATTTTTACCTGGAAGAATGAGTTCTTGGTTTTATGGTGGGCATGGGTTTGTTGGTCTCTTCATATACATGATAGAGCAATTTCTCAGATGGGAAATTATTACTATGATATACTAGTGCTACCCTTCACCTATTCCCTCTGCTTCCTTTTTTTTTATTGATTTTTTTGTATATTTAACACAACTCTTTTGTTTGTACACTAATCAATGCCATCCTCTTCGTATCTACTGTTTAGAAAAATTGGCTAGGTTGAAACAAGCCAAAGAAGAGGCCGAAAAGGAGATTGCTGAATACCGTGCTCAGCTAGAGTATGAGTTTCAAAAGAAGGTGTCAGATGTAAGTCTCTGATTATATTTGATAAATGCCACTGTTAGACTATCCTTTTATCTTATTCTAGGTTATGATGTATTCTCCAACTTGTGTGCATACTTTCCTATGAATACAGACTAGTGGAGATTCTGGAGCTAATGTCAAGCGGCTTGAGCAAGAGACTGAAGCAAAAATCCATCACCTGAAAAAGGATTCTGCAAGAATATCAGATGATGTTGTAACCATGCTCCTCAAGTATGTAACTAGTGTGAAAAATTAGGACCCTTTGATGATCTATTTGGTGCTGCGGACTCCTAAATTATGTTGATTATCATCCCGATTTTAATTGACTCTAGATATGTATAAGATTATTGTTTTGGTTACAGTACTTAGCACCTTGCTACGATATATTCAAAGAAATAATTTTATGTTTGCTAAAGTAAGCAGTTCAGAATTCAAAGACATGTCTATTTGTGTTACCGTTTTAACAGGTGTATGAGGACTAGTTCCGTCCTTGTATATCAAAGTGAAGCCTAAATGCATGGTTTATTCTTTCATAAACACCCCGCTCTCTGCTTATTTCTGAATTTGCTTCAGAGCACACTGAGTATCAACTTCAGTAATCACCTTTCTTAACCCTATATTCTAGTTCAAATCCAAAACCTCTGCTTGAACAGAAGCGTCAATGTCCATATTATGAAGAAAACCTCTTAATTCAAACACCAAAAACATTATACATCATTCATCCCTTTGGACGCTCCATTGACATTCATTTTGATCCAATCCTTTGGCAAGAACACCCAATCCACAGGCTGCTTCTATCGAGGTCTGCTAGAATTCTACAAAACTGTACATATCATGGCTGAATCAATGATTTCGCTAACCCTTGACCAAATAATAATCTTGACTTCTATGTCTTATATCCAACCCACATCTCAGCCTATTGAATATTTTGCATTGCTGGGAATGTGGTCTTTACATGGGAACAATTGCAACTTTTCGAGAATGGCTCATTTCTGACAGCCACGTGTTTGTAATAAGGGTAAGGAGAAGAGGGAAATTTTGAATTTTCACTATTATAAATTGATGATATGATGTTCATAAAAGAGACGTAAATAGGGAGTCCTGTATGTGAAGTAACTTAATGCCATATATGATGTTAAAACGTCCCCATCATGCAAATGTTTGGTGTCATTTTGTTTCACCCATTCTTCAACATCTATGCTACTTTTAGCAACTTTATTCAACTGATAATTAGGAATTACAACCGTGACTTCAATGTCTGAAATAGAATAGGCACTCACGGTCCAAGAATCTGCATCGCAAAGTTGGTTCTTTTCGCCTTCAACATATCAACCACAATGTTAGGATCCAAAGGGTGGGATGCTAGTGAACCCCAAATGACACCAAGACCTGGTATAGACTCAGCCCCTTGGGCACCTTGTATTTGGCAACGAGCTACGACCAATACCAACATAAACCCCCCACATGCATATCTCAGCTCGAGCCATGGTTTGAGCCGTTTGTGAAAGCTAAGCATGGTACCAAAGGTAAGAATGAAATGCAAGATGTTTGTAAACACAATATATATTTTTTAGACGGGTTGATTTTAAATGGATAAACCCGCCTCAAAACAGGGTATATTGGTGTTTCCAACTCAATTATAAATGATAGATCAATCCACTCCGTCTCATTTTTGGTGGATCAGGACGAATAGACCCATTCATCTCTAAGTAAGAATATTATCAAGTTTTTAACACAGCTACATTTCCAAGACTTGAATTTAAGACAATTGATTAAATTTATTAATCCCATATTAATTAATCCATGTATTTTGTGGTGAATATTAGTAGCTTTTGCATTACTTTCTTATACTTTTCTTCATTGGCCATTTGTAACCCAAAAAATCTTCTCTAATTGTTAGACCAAGGCGGTGAATATCCTCAAATCAAAGAAGTCGAACACAAAAAAATATGGGAATGAATTATCTTATGTCTTGTTTTAATATAATCATGTGAAAGATTTTAATCATTTGTTCATAGATTAAGGATTGCAATTTTAATAATGAAGTTTGTTAAATGAAAAATTGAAAATTATCACTTTAACTGGTAACCGTTGATTTATAAATAAATTATCAAGATCTATTTTATGACATCATCATATTAATTAAAATAAGACATGAAAATATTCATTCACCATAAAGTACAAATACATCTGCGGATATATGATAGCACTGGCGAGTCAAGGGTTCCAATATTATATTGGGTAGTATATTTCGTAAAATAGGCCGGACTTGCACCTTGAAAAAGCTTGTTTAATAAATAGGCCTTAGGTCGACTTTCACAATGCCTAGCCTATAAGCCTATAAGTCTACAGGCCGGCCTAATAAATAAAATAAAATAAGTATACCTTGAAAAAAAATAAAAGATATAAATTTAATCAATTGCAATTATTTATAACTCAATTATATTGATTATATTTTAATAGAAATATGACTTTATTTCTGATGTAGAAGGAACCAATATCTCAACATGTTAGATTGTGTATATAAATATAGGGAAAACATTTTCTCCTTTAAAAGGAGAAATTTTTTCTCATGTTAGTGACTCATAATATATGTGGGGCCCACAAAATAGTGGAGAGAGAGAAAAAATTTCAAGGTGGGACCCACTTATGTTATAAGTCACTAACATGGGAAAAATTTTCTCCTTTAAAAGGAGAAAATATTTTCCCATAAATATATTAAAAGCTTCTTGGGAGAGGTTATACTTACTACAAGCATCATGATGTGTTTGTTGAATTCATATAATTATTTTAATTTAATAATATGGATTTGTTTGTTGGAGCTGATGAAATATATGTTATTTAGTTTAAGCATTTTGCTTTTGAAAGTAACTTAAATGTAGAAGATTGTGATGAGTTTTGTTGTGATTCATGATTCTGTTTGGACGTTAAAATTGTGATTTATGGTTTAGTAACAAAATTTAAGTATTTTGTGAAATTGATTCTGGTTCTGTTGAAAGATAAAAATTAACAGGCTAATGGGCTAGGTCAGGCTCTTTATTTTTTTTTATAAACGGGTCAAGTCAGGCAAACAGTTAGACTCGTATGAGGCTTGAGCCAGGCTAAATTGAAATTTTTTGGCATAGGCTTGGGCTTTTCAGGGCAAAGCTTGGCCCAACCCAGCCCACTTTCACCCCTTGTAATTTGTAAGAGTTTGTGAATAAAAGTTTATAAATATAACTCTACTCAAATTTTAAAAATATGAAAAAAAATCATTGACCATAAATTATAACGAAGAAATTGAATATCTATTTTTTTCATTTATAATTATTTTTGGGTATGACCATCATTTTTTTCTGTGATAGTGGGCTTGTTTAAAATAATATAAAAACTGAAACGTGTGAAAAGGTTATTTAACATTTATTTTTGGTTCATTTTTTCTAAAATTATTTTAAATAACTTTGTCTAATGTTCATTGAAATGATGCCGTTTTCTGATGAAAAAATATGGTATATTTATAATTTTAATTTATTTCAGAATTATAATAGCTTTTATCATTCTAATTTTTTAATTTTTCAACCAAAATAACATCAGTTCAGTAAACATTAAATAAAATAGTCTAAAGTAACATTAAATACTTTTTCCCTTTTATTTTTACTCATTGTTACCTTGCAAATGGTGGACTTTCAACTCATTTTTGGTATCATAAAAACAAAGTTAAATGCTGTGACAGAATTTGTAGACTTGTTTTCTACTGTCCTACATTTTTTGTGTGTGGTAATACTGTCCTTCATTTTTATTATAAACAGACGAGTGCTAAATACTTTTTATTCTAATTTTGTCCCCAGTTCTCTACTTTTTAAAACATGAACATTGATTCTTTATTTCAACGTGTGTGTCTATATATATATATATATATATATATATATATATATATATATATATAGGTAGGATCATTTGACACCGATGTCAAATTTCAAATTTGATACCTCATCTAAGAGCCGTTAGATAAAAAAAGATCAACGACTCTGATTTGTAAGCATATGACATCATTGATCTTTTTTTATCTAACAGCTCTCAGGATGAGGTGTCAAATTTTGACACCGGTGTCAAAGGATCCTACCTCATATATATATATATATATATATATATATATATATATATATATATATATATATATATATATATATATGAGGTAGGATCCTTTGTCATCGGTGTCAAATTCAAAATTTGATACCTTATCTGAGAGCCATTAGATCAAAAAAGATCAACAACTCTGATTTGTAAGCATGCGACACCATTGATCTTTTTTGATCTAAGGGCTCTCAGATGAGGTGTCAAATTTCAAATTTGACATTGGTGTCAAATTTCAAATTTGACATTGGTGTCAAATTTCAAATTTGACATTGGTGTCAAATTTCAAATTTGACATTGGTGTCAAATGATCCTACCTATATATATATATATATATATATATATATATATATATATATATATGAGAAATCATTTTCATCAGTTGCAGGGGAGAAGCTATGTTTCCTGCCGAGACATTAACAAGTGGGAGCCATCATTTAAAATAAAAAAAATTCAAAAGAAAAGCTGGTACAAAATTCTATGTATGTGTAGGAAGGAAGAATAGTGTTACTGCCTATGCAGCACCGATACGACACGAGACACGTAACACGATACGACACGACACTCCGACACGTTAATTCTAAAAAATGTTAGATTTCGACATGTTAGGACACATTTTGATATTAAATATTATTTTTAATTTATATAGTGTATATTATATTTAATATTCAATAATTTAACAAAAAATAAATCTAAACTTATAATATTCATAAATTTTTCAAAGAAACATAAGATATCCCAAATATTTATATTAAACTCAATAAAATAGTAATCGTAATTCAATGAATCAAATAGTTGGAACTAAAAATTCAATGCAACGCAACCTTTAAACTTTTTTTTGAATTTCTATAATGCATGTTGGAGTGTCGGGGAGTGTCGGAGTGTCCGAGAGTGTCGGACACGACACGTCAGGGTTTTTGAAGTGTCGGTGCTTCATAGGTTATTGCAACATAAGAAAACAAAATCCACACACTCACACACACACACATATATATATGAGGTAGGATTCTTTGACACCAGTGTTAAATTTGAAATTTGACACCTCATCTGAGAATCGTTAGATCAATGGTGTCACATGCTTGCAAATCAGAGTCGTTGATCTTTTTTGATCTAACGACTCTCAGATGAGGTGTCAAATTTCAAATATTTGACACTGGTGTCAAAGGATCCTACCTATATATATATATATATAAAACATGCACATTCTTAACTTCAAGTTGTGTGCAACTCGTTCATTTTCATTACACTTACTTTTGTTTCTTTTATATTAAAAGAAAAAAATAAAAGCGTATATTATTATATTTTAATAAAAGTTTT